ATTTCCCCCATGTGCAGATCAGTTATGAAGAACAGTACATCTTTAAAGCACCACTGACTTGCCAGAGCACGGAGAGCTGGAAGCAGGGTTAGGGGGCAGCCGGTAGGGCTGGAGCCCAAACCCTTCATTTGGAGCCCTCTGCACCACCATACTAATTTCCATGTGCACCTGGTGAGAGAAAGGTGGATCAGTGGATCAGATGCCCCGACATCCTCTGCTGCATCGGATCCACTGGATTAGTTGCCTTTGGCCCACGTGTCTGCCATCTCCGGCTGCCCCCTTCTCCCTGCAGTTTTTATCTGAAAGCAAAAGCTCTCCTCTCCCACATCCATACTTTCCTTTTTACAAATGCAGAGGCAGGATCTTTTAAAGCGACTTTGGAGCATATGTAAATCAGCAAGTGCAAATTTATGCATTTTTTCCTTCTTCGCTCCAGCCCCAGCATTTTTCGGTACTTAGCAACACCCTTGTGAAGGCCCATCAGTTATCCTGACACTCCAACAGGTGGTATTTTTGCTGTTGCTCTGAAGAAATCCCAGAGCTGTGCACACCTACATTGCTCTGCCACCACGGCACTGGTTAGGACGCTGTTCCTTATTTTCGATCTTTTACTTAGCGGAGCGTGTGTGCTTTGAGATTAAACAAAGAAACCAAAAAGAAGTTGAAGTAATGCCTCAGTGCCTCCCAAACTGGTGATTTCATACAAAGGGTAGCTTTGACTGAGAACAGAACTGGGACCTTTCCAGGGAAGGCGGTCTCTGGGAACAGAGAGTTCAGATGGGCTATACGAAAATCTGACAGCATTTCCCTCACTCCCCACATGGCATCTGCTGCAGATGACCAGCCGGCCATCTTGTGGCCTGTTCTGTTGTGAAGGACACCCATGAAGGACCATGCTTCAGTGGTTCACACTTGCTTCTCCTACCAATGGAAGCATCCTTCTCTCACTTTCCAAGCAGGGACTGCTGGCTTTAGCAAATGTGGCAGCAAGCAGAGCTTGTGGCAGGACACACAGCCCGCCAGGAACCTCCCACATCCCAGTTCAACCCACTTCCCACAGGCCATGCTTTCTTCCTTGCATCTAGCAAGCTTCTCTGCTGCCATTCAAGAGCCAGCCAAGACGGAATGACTAGGTCACGCAGAAAGGAACTCTGGAGGCTCACAGCTCTCGGTCTTACTCAAGTGAGTAAGCCATTATTGAAAGGAACGGACCTGGAACTTGTGTGGGGACAAGTTACAAGGGCCTTAGAATCACACCCCTTCGTTTGGACTTTTTGTGAACACCTTGATGCATTTCAGCTCATCCAGGGCAATGGTGCAGGCAAGGCAGGTTATGTAAATCAGGTTCCTTATTTTTACTTGGATTAATTGGACACCAACGAGGAGAAAAAGTCATGGAAATACAATAAACACTCACTTACATGGATGATTTCACAACCAGCATGGTACACTTTTTCCTTTAAACATAAGATTGCCACTAAAATGGTTCTGTTCAAGATCAGGAAAGATAAACACCTTTTTGATTAAAAAATAAAGTGGTAAGGTAATTTGATTATGGCTAGAATCAGATACTATATTCTAGAGGAGAACAATGTCTTTGAAACTATACAACTCTCTGTC